GATGACCATNGGGTATCGTGGATACTCTGGGTATCGTAGATACTCTGGGTATCGTAGATACTCTGGGTATCGTAGATACTCTGGGGTATCATAGATACTCTGGGTATCGTAGATACTCTGGGAATCGTAGATACTCTGGGTATCGTAGATACTACCGTCCTCAGATCGATAAGGTTATTAATAAGCAACGTATTACACGAATCTTCGTTTGAAAATGTTTCTATTTCGTTTGTAAAGTAAATTAATTTGTAAAAGGAATTGCCAGTTAAAGTGAGCAACAAATTTTGGGTGGGATGAATGTTGTGATACACGCCTTATTTCTACATGAATAAAGTTCATATTCAGATGACCATGAATGTTGTAATACGCGCCTTATTTCTACATGAATAAAGTTCATATTCAGATGACCGTGAGACGTTAGATGGTCTGGCTGCAACACCGTATCTGTCTTAATGTATCCGTCGAGCTGAAAGGTTCTAACCACTGCCGTTATGTAATGTAAGTTCCCTGCCACGTACATTACTGATTATAAATCACTTTTATTTTTGTTTCTGTTGTTGCTTAAACTTGGGTAGTGATTTGTTAATTAGTATATGATATCTGTTGCTCATATTCCAGAAAAATGCTCGTTTGTTCGAATATAACCTGGATTGCCAAGTCTTCCTTAATTTAATACATAGACAATGCAGATAATTACTGTGTGGCTCTTAGAAAACTTAGCAAGCACGTCTGATCTTATGCAGGTGAGCATCTTGGACATCTCCTCCGTGAATTACTATACTATTATACATTATGAAAAGTTTTCACATGTTTTTGATGCATTGGCCTCTATGACTAGTTGTATTTGTCGTATTTCAAAGACAGTAACGAACCCTCACAAATATTAGAACTTCCACCTAAGCTCCGCACCTATCTTTCAACGGACAAGTGCTAGGAGCATCAAAAATATTTACAAGACTTCAGTCATACATTATTACCGAGTGGGCTACGTGCAGACCGATCCGCCATGACTGAGCACGATCGTTTTTTAGCTATGACTAAACTATTCCTCAAAGCAACCAAACCTCAGCCGTCATTGTCGACTGTATTATGAAAAAAACATTTGGCATTAATATATTCCACAAGTATACTATGCGATTCTTGTTCTAAATTTTTTTTTTACGTTATAATGTTTTTTCATTGTAATTAATATATTCATTAACCTTTATCATAACGAGCACATGCATTATGTACCGTATGTGTGTGTTTCACTGCAGAAAATTACTGAACACGAAGAATTTTTTTCTGTAATAATATGTAATATGTTTTTTCTGTAATAATATGTAATAATTTTCTTGTCAAGACCGCGTGATATATGCAACCATTAGTCGGATGTGCTGCCATGCCGGCAAGCTAATGGCGGAATTATTCATAAATTTACCCAGAGACAAATACAGTTTCAGCTGATGGTGACCTGGAAAAAGGTATTAATTTTTCCATCATTGTTATCTTCGAATCGCTTGAGTGCCAATGAAATAATAATAATGTCACTCGATTGTTCGAATCGCGGAGTAATTAAAAATTAATAAACTAATTTTTCTCTCGATAATTATTTGTGTTATTCAAGCTTTGGTTTTACATATATGGGTAATCTAAATTTCATCTAAAGATTGAAATAATGTGAATAAAATAGTGTCATTAGGCAGGTGTGGCGCCAGTATTTTCAAATCAGTTACCCCAACACACAACACAATCACTAAGCGCTGCGTGCTTTGTGATCAGTAGTGACGATTATATAAGTCTGTGGATCCACTAGAAAATTTATAGAATAGAGTAAATAGTGCTCGTCTCTCTTCGATTTTCGGATGATCTGATTAAAATTACACCCCTAGGCAACTGTCTCATTTCCGTATACGAAGAACGCATTCTGCCTTGGACAGTCTTGGTATAGTATAGTATCTTCGTCATCGAATAATAGGCCTGTCGCCGATTCTTGTACTTATCTTGACAATGTTTGATTTGTGTATTTTTCCATTACTGAGACCTTCCAACTCGTTGGTGATGTTCATCTTGACTTTCGGTGCGACCGTGCGAGATAGCTGAAGCGCTAGTAAAAGTGTGGCCATTAAACTAACTTATTGAACGCACTTTCCGAATATTACTACACAGCTCGCGAGTAGCATCATTCCCTGAAAATTTGCTTCGCACTCAACATCTTAATAATAGGTAAAGCTTCAAATATATCTTTGATAAAATTACTGCTTTATATTTAATATTATTTGGCGGAATGGATGTAACATAGCCAAGACTGAGCACGTGCATGTCTCTAGCGCTGACTCAACTATTCTATATTGCTGGCAATCTCCAGCACATCATCATCGACAGAAAGCAAATCTATCAATCATCATCACAACGAATATATGCATCGAGTATGTGTAAGAATCAGCACTGAAATATGCTTAGCGTGGAACACTTCCTCATATACTTTGGTACACGACTGCATTTGCCATGGGCCTACTACATTAATATCTCGTGTACATTCTATATCTCCGTAGCAACAGGTTGGAACTTGGAGATTGATATTTCAAATAAAACCTGCACACGTAAAAATCCTTCTTTTCCTTACTTGAGAGCACATTGGCAGTAATTTGTTGCACGTTGTCGAAGAGGTTTCAAACCTTTAAATTTCATATTGGCCAATATAGATAACTTTTGACGTCAAAGAGAGGAAAATTCCATGATACAGTACAATTTCTTACACGAACTGGTAAAATTCTTAGAAGCACAAATGCTTGCTGACTTTATATTCCATTATAATAATCTTGTCATGTTTGTAAGCCAGTAGAGATTACTTGCACTGTGATTGCGAAGCGTTTTGAAAGTAACTCTTTCTGTAGGAGGTTCTTATCGCCATCAGTTATGCGCTGTGGACCAACCCCCAGGCTATGGGCAACTGCCCTGAAGGCTGCAGTTGGCAATTCATATCGAATTTCCTTGGTGTTCGTGATAATTTTTACTCCATAGTTCATGTATTAAAATGATTCCATAATAACGCACAATTATGGTTCATGCATCACAGTACGTTCACGAATTGTAGATAGCAGCTAAAATTATAGTGATACTCTCGTGCAGTGACCAGCAACAATCGCATTTTGTAGGTAAGCAAAATTGAGACAGTGTCCTAGCGGTCGTAGCACTTGGACGCGATCGTTTTGTTGCTTTGATATTTGCAAATTAATGTTGAATTTAAATTAGTTCTACCGTGGAAAATGTTTTTTAAGATGGAAGAAATTTTTGTGAAAGAAAACGAAAATGTTGTAGGAGATACCCTTGTATTTGATTCTGCTGGAACGAGCGGCGAGCAAATTAAATTGTTATAATCTTTATTACTTGTCAACAGAGCTGGGCAGCGCTACTTTAAAATGTAGCGCCGCTACCGCTACCGCTACATGCTCTAGATGTAGCGGGCGCTACCGCAACCGCTACACCCACTAGATTGTAGCTAGCGCTACCGCACCGGTGCTACGGTAAAATGTAGCGCCGCTACATTAGCCGCTACAATGGCCAAAATTGTTGGAAATCTCTAAATATTTATTGTTCTGCTATTTGGATTTACTCATAAACATATAATGATAATAAAACATTTTCAAAACATTTCAATGCAACTTTATTGCAATTAACCTAACCGAACTAGTACGGGTTAGATACAGTAATAAAAGTTACAGCTATTTTTATGTTTTACCTTCCCTACATGGATGTCTACTTTAATCTGCCAGTCTCAAAAATTATCCACATATACATAAAAAATCAGTCTTTTATTTGTATATATATCGGGATTATTTTTGAGATTGGAAGATTAAGGTAGACATCTATGTAGGGAAGGTGAAATATAAAAATAACTGTGTAAAAATAACTGTAAGCAAACTGAAAAATGGTAAAATATAACTCAGTACTCACTGCAGTGAGTGACAGAGAGCGCATTTTCCCGTCGACGAAAACGAGAAAGCAACGGACAGACAGACAGACGAACGGACGAACAGACGGGCATGGCAAGCACAATAGTGCATTTTTTCCATAAATGAGAAAATGCGCTAAAAATACCTGAAAGTGGTAACTGGTAACAACTTAAAAGTAACAACTAACATGTCGACACTAGTAACAGGCTGAGGTTGACAACATTACACCGAAATCTTTCGTCTTTTCGTATTCTGTAATTTATATTATGTATGTATCATGCAGGTTTTTAAATAATATTTAATACTATTAAGTAAAATCTAAAGGCTTTATCTATAAATGTAGCGGTAGCGCTGTAGCGGCAAAACCTCGTATCGCTACTTAAATATGTAGCGGGCGCTACCGCTACCGCTACATTGCCTGTAATGTAGCGTAATGTAGCGCCGCTACCGCTACATGTAGCGCGCTACTGCCCACCTCTGGTTGTTAATGGATTAGGCAGTCATATACAGGAGAACCTGCGGCCTCGAGGCCTAAACCTTACAAGCCAAGCGGATGTTGTTCATTATTTTCTTATTTATAAATATGTTATTTATTTTCTATACCGAACACAATTTTTGGTTTGCTTATTACTTCTGGATGCTGATTTATGACCATTTATAAATAATTAATTATTTTTAAATGGTCTATAATAGAATTATAATTATTTATTCTAAGAAAATATAATTATAATTTATAATTTACGACCATTTATAAATAAAATTATGATTTTATTTATAAATGCTGACCTCACATTTATTAGTGCAGGACTTCAGGCGGGGGGAATTCGACCCCCAATTATGAGTGGCGTGGAACCCAAATGTTCAGCGATGGGGGGTTGAACCCCTAAACCCCCAGGGGAGGACGAGACCTTACGTTACCCCGCGGTGCGGGTTGAGCCCTTGAGCCCTCAGGTGGACGCTGAGGCTCTACGCAGGATATTCGAGAAATTCGGAAGCATCGCTTCTGTTACAACACCCAAAGGGAGTGCGGGAGAGACTCTCGTCCCTACGGGGGGGTGTGATGAGCCCCCAAAGGGGGTGCGGGGGAGACTCTCCCCCACGGGGTGGTGAGGTGAGCCCCCAGAGAGGATGGGGGGGGGAGACTCTTCCCCCATGAACTGGTGGAGCGAGGCCCGCGTGTCGGTAATCATTATTGTGCTCGCCGTGCTTCATGACTGCCAGATGGCCACTTTATTTTGGCCATATTGGCCGTTTATGGCCGTTTTTCATACCAGTTGACTGGCCATAAATAATGCATGTGAACTAGTACCCCCCGCAGGTTCTACAGCCTGGGCGGCGCTGAGGACGCCGCCGAGTGCCTGGACGGCTCGCTGGTGGGCGGCAAGACTGTCGAGGTCCGCGTGGACGGTGAGCACCTGGCGCCCACCTGCTGTGTGGCGCTCACCCGCTGTGTGGCGCCCACCTGCTGTGTGGCGCCCACCCGCTGTGTGGCGCCCACCTACTGTGTGGCACCCACCTGATGTGTGGCGCCCACCTCCTGTGTGGCGCCCACCTGCTGTGTGGCGTCCACCTCCTGTGTGGCGCCCACCTCCTGTGTGGCGCAAACCTGCTGTGTGGCGTCTAGTTGCTGTATGACACATTTAATACATGGCAGTTAGTGTATAAATTCAGTGCGCTAATCAAGCCGCTATACTACGTGACGTCATCGTCACGTATGACGTCATAGTGTGTCGTGACGTCACGCATGACTGTTGAATGACTCGTGCATTTCAGACCTGGGTTGCCTTCCCTCCGCCGCTAACCCTCCTGGTAGATCAACTCGGCTACTGGGCCCTCCTCCTGGACTGATTAAGTGGGTCACCCCCTCCCCCACTGAAAGTGGGTCGCCTCTTCACTCTCTTCGATTGTATCACCCCCTCCCCCACTGAAAGTGGGTCACCTCTTCACTGTCTTCAATTGCATCACCCCCTCCCCCCACTGAAACTGAAAGTGGGTCTGAAAGCTCACCGCCGTAGCAATTTTTTTGCGTAAGGAATCAAAGTCATAGCAAATTAATATTTCTATCGGCCAATCATAGTGCAAATTTTCCATTTTAACATTCATGTTTTCATTCGAATGATTTATTTATGTGCGTGTTGATATTTCTCTAGTTTGCTCGTCATAGATAAAATAAAGAAGTCAGTGTAAAATTCCGTTTTCTATAAGTCTCGAATATTTCCTAGTGAAAATTAAAGGTACGACTTAAGTATTTGCAAATTCGAAATGGATAATCCAATATTTTCAAATAAAACGACAAGTTCCCTTGGAAGTTTGATTTATCATGCGAAATATTGTTTTTTTCTATTCTGCAAACGAATATATTAAAAAAAACTAAGTATATATATTCAAAAAATTGATTTTAGATTTTATCATCGTGCTTTATTTGCACCAACAATCCACTACACTCCTGCTATCAATCCTACACGAGTGGAGTTATACCAAGTCTTGGACAATTTTACTGCCGGTCTATATAACTTCCTTCGGTCTCCAAAACTTTCTCCGGTCTCCACAATTTTACCGCCGGTCTCCAAAAAAAAAAAAAACTCCTCTACTAACGAACGCAGCTCAATGTAACTTTGAACACGTATTTATCAGAACCTAATGGTGATGTTTAGCTCGTGACATTTTTTCGATTTCTCCTTCGTTCGCGAGTTATTTGGCAAAATGTTACATCCACTGTTGAACGTATGAAGAAAAAATTCTAATGAATAATTCGAACTTTTTTTCAGAAAATAAAAGTGTAAATTTTTGTGTTTTACTTTGTCTTCACGATCTAAACTTCACCGTTGAGAGGTTAGGAATGGGTGTGTTATAGACTGTCAGTTATGTGTGTTTGCCTGGTCCCGAGTTGTGATGACTTCATGATGAGTATAGAATATAGAAGAATGCCTTCAGGTAACTGGTCATTTGTTCGAATATAGCCTAGGTTGCCAAGTCTTCATTATTTTACTACGTAGACAATGCAGATAATTAATGTGACTCTGAGACATATATCCGCAAATCGTCATTACACATGTTAAAATTTTATATTACTCGAAACAATTCCTCCTAAGTGGCTTCGCACCCAATCATCCTCGAGATGATTGGTGGAAGCTTCAAAAATATATACTGCGCGTCAGCAGCAGAAGCAATTTTCATAGTGAAAATTAGAATCATGGATGTACGTTAATAAACCAAGACTGAGCACGCGCATGCCTCGAGCAATGACTTAACTATTCTATATTGTCGGCAATTTCCAGCACGCCATCATCGACAGTAAGCAAATTTATTAACCATAATTACAACGAATACATGCATCGAGTATATGTAAGAATCGGCACTGAAATGTGCTTAGCGTGGAACACTTATTTTATTTAATTTGGTACACGACTGCATTTGCCATGGGCCTATTTCTTCAGTGCCGGCACTTCTTTTCTATACATGCGGCTATCTGTCTGATGTGCTGCGATGCCAGCAAGCAAATGACGGAATTATTCAAAAATAATATCCGAGAGGGATATTATATTACATTATAAAATATTATAGGAAGTTTCAGCTCGCGGTGAGCGGGAATACGGTATTGATTTTCTCAAAATTCACATCTCTGATTCGTCAGACGGTCAGAGGAACCGAACGGTAATAATGTCACATAATTGCTCGAGTAGCTAATTAACTAGATATTTGAAGGCGAATAATATGCATCCACTGTTTATTTGTGAATTTTTGTAGTGGTAATTTTAATATTAAATTAATATTTAATCTAAATTTCAAAGTCATCCAAGTGATGTTGTGAGCGTTCGGTGGCTGGTATGAAGCTTGGCTGTTTACATGAGTTATCCCAACAAGCTCGCAACGCGCTGCGTGCTTTGTAATCAGAGGTGATGGCCCGATAAGACTTCGGACCAGATAACATGACTTTTCAACAGAAGACAAAATAAAGGTTGTGTCGGCGCTGAAGTGTAGGCCTGATGTGGCCTGTCGCCGATTCTTGAACTTTTCGTGACTTGTTCACAGAAGATCTAAAATCGTGTCAACTGACTGGATATTTTCAGGACTAACGATAGTTCGAAATAGCTACTATATATAGACTTCCACCGGGTTCGATATGGTGCTAGGCATTTAAAGTTTGAACATATATTTTTCCATAGCTTTATCAAGTCTGTTCTTGAACGCGTTCATACTCAGAGCGCCAACGATGTCATAGGGGAGGCTGTTCCACATGTCGGTGATTCGAAGCGAGAAGAAATGTTGTCGCATGATAAAGTTGCAGCGCAGTTTTTTTTACATTGAACTCTTTTCATTACTTTATGAAATATTTCTTGGTCACTAAATTCGGAGACCGGCCCTAAAATGGTCCGACACGTCAAACGGATTAAATTTCTTCATCTTTACTGAAGAAAAGTAAGAAAAAATGTACGTTTAGAACGTGATGCGATACGATCCATTGTTGGTTAAAATGGTATTTCCTGTAAAATTTTATGACAGACTTTAAACATCATCAGGATGTTGGGTGGCCCAGTGGTTACAGTTCGCTGTACCAAAATTGGAGCAGTGAGTTGTGGGTTCGATCCCAGCTACCTGCTACAGTTCTGGCCGAGCGGTTAAGCACAGTAAATGGGAAACAACGAGTTGCGTGTTCGAGACCCGCAACAAGCTGTGAATAATGAAGTAATGAACCAACGCTAGTTACGGGAGGTGAACGAGGTAATGAACAGCTGACTCTCCACATACATACAATAAGTATACAGCTGACTCTCCACATATATACAATAAGTATACAGCCGACTCTCCACATATATACAATAAGTATACAGCTGACTCTCCACATATATACAATAATTGGTGTAGTTTGGCAGAAGATTTTCTTTAATGCAGGTTTCGTTGAAGACCAGAGAGTATTTCTTATTGACAATTTTATTATTGTTTTTCTCTATTCGGCGAATTAGGCTCTTGATAGGAACTGAGAAGTCAAATATCAGGTGTCCAGGGGACATTTTATTATAATTTTAATTTTACGACTTTTCGAATGCAACTTCATTCATTATCAAGTAGAAGAGGAAGAGTTTTGCAATGCTAGAAATTGAAATTTTGAAATGACATTAGTACAAACATAGGTATTATGGATACAGATTGAAATCAAAGCATAAATTACTAGAACAGTTTCAATGTCCTGACAAATCCGGTTGTAAATTGACAAATCCGGTTGACAATGTCCGGTTGTAAATTAATAGCTGGAGACTCCTGCTTGATGATGAGAGCCTCAGCTATCGCCAGTCTTGTGGCGTCTGGGCATCTCATGATGATTCTGGTGTGGGTCTCCAACATCGCGCGAGTGAGTGTCTCATTATGAGCCTCTCTCATGTGGTTCTTCGGTCCTCCGGTCTGGAGGTGGCATGTTAGGCGGCGGCTCAAAGTCGTGCTGGTCAAACCAATGTAATTTACGTTCCGGAGAGGTATACAACCTTCTTTGTGGCAGGAATATTTGTAAATAACATTAGTTTCTTGTAATGGGCCCGACTTTTTGCATGGATTATTTTCCATTGTTAAATTCTTGACTTTCTTGTTTTTATAGTAAATAAGGAGCTTGATTCGGTCGGCTTCGGTTGTGCTTTTGATGTTATTTAGCCCAATTGATTTGAGGACTTTTTCGTCGGTCTTGTGGCCTCCAGTCATCTGATTTTGGTAATATATTGTTACAATACGTTCGTTGGATGTTAGTTCATTGTCAGTTTGGTTTTGACGTGCTCGATAGTTTGAGATTTCGCTGTCAATAGTTTTATACGCATAACCGTTGTTTACCAGAATTTGCTTGCAGCTCTGGAGTTCAGTTCTCAAGTCACTGGCAAATGTACCGGTTTTAAATGCTCTGTGTATTAAGGCGCGAATAGTGCTGGTTTTGTATCGCTGGGGACATTCACTTGCATCGTTCAGAACTCTTCCGCTAACCATGTTTATTCAAAAATGTCCTAGTTGATCTCCTCCGCATTTGTATTTCAGAATCGCCTTTCCGGACACCTGACAACAAAATTTACCATTAAATCAACGGTGTTGCCAAGGCAGCCCTCTGGGTTCAACCTTTGCTGAATTATACATGTGCAAATTAGAAAACCGAGTATTGTCGGACGCAAAAATCAGGCCTGAGCTCTACTGCAGATACGTCGACGATATTTTTGTCGTTGTTCGAGATGAGGATCACATGACTGAGTTACGCGTGGCCTTAGAACTCAATTCAGTTTTGACGTTCACCTGCGAATTTGGGCTTAATCAGTCATTGCCCTTCATCGATATACTCGTGCAAGTAGATGATACAATGTCCGTCACTAAAGTTTCCCGAAAACCTACTGACGTCGGAAGAGTTCTGAACGAAGCAAGTGAATGTCCCCAGCGATACAAAACCAGCACTATTCGCGCCTTAATACACAGAGCATTTAAAACCTGTACATCGGCCAGTGACTTGAGAACTGAATTCCAGACCTGCAAGCAAATTCTGGTAAACAACGGTTACGCGAATAAAACTATTGACAGCGAAATCTCAAACTATCGAGCACGTCAAAAGCAAACTGACAATGAACTAACATCCAACGAACGTATTGTAACAATTTATTACCAAAACAAAATCAGATGACTGGAGGCTACAAGACTGACGAAAGAGTCCTCAAATCAATTGTGCTAATTAACATCAAAAGCACAACCGCAGCCGACCGAATCAAACTCCTTATGTACTATAAAAATATGAAAATCAGGAATTTAATAATGGAAAATAACCCGTGCAAAAAGTCGGGCCCATTACACGAATCTAATGTTATTTACAAATATTCTTGCCACAAAGAAGGTTGTAGACTTCTCCAGAACGTAAATTACATTGGTTTGACCAGCACGACTTTGAGCCGCCGCCTAACATGCCACCTCCAGACCGGAGGACCGAAGAACCACATGAGAGAGGCTCATAATGAGACACTCACTCGCGCGACATTGGAGACCCACACCAGAATCATCATGAGATGCCCAGACGCCACGAGACTGGCGATAGCTGAGGCTCTCATCATCAAGCAGGAATCTCCAGCTATTAATTTACAACCGGACATTGTCAACCGGATTTGTCAATTTACAACCGGATTTGTCAGGACATTGAAACTGTTCTCGCAATTTATGCTTTAATTTCAATCTGTATCCATAATACCTATGTTTGTACTAATTTCATTTCAAAATTTCAATTTCTAGCGTTGCAAAACTCTTCCTCTTCTACTTGATAATGCATGAAGTTGCATTCGAAACGTCGTAAATTTAAAATTTTAATAAAATGTCAATAAGAAACCTGATATTTGACTTTTCAGTTCCTATCAAGAGCCTAATTCGCCGAATAGAGAATAAAATACTTAAAAAAAATTTAAAAAACACGTTTTTCTTGTGGACTAAAAAGTAGAAAATGAATTATGGCTCGCCCTAAAAAACGTGTGTCGGGCAGATTTATGATTAAAGCGAAAAGCACACAACACTTAAATTTTGGAAATTTCTACTTTTTAGCCCACAAGAAAAACGTGTTTTTTTAAGTATTTTATTTTCTACTTTTTAGTCCACAAGAAAAACGATTAAGACTTGATCAAGTATGACTTGACGTACGTATCGATGATACGCAGCGTCAGCGCCTGCTCGTCTATAACGTCAGCGCCCGCACTTCATACTATATATATACTATATATATACTTTACTAATTAAGCTAATTTAGGTCTCTAATTGCTAGTTTTTATGATTGTATCTGAAATTGTTAAGCGAAAATAGACTGCATGCCGAATTTCTGATCTCTAGAGCAATCAGAAGTGGGATAATTTTCGTTGTCAATGTTAACAACAAACAAATCCACAAACAAACAAACGCGAAGCTAAGTTAGGAAAAACGTATTAATTATTAAAAACAATAAGAAAATTGTCAATAAGAAATACTCTCTGGTCTTCAACGAAACCTGCATTAAAGTATATCTTAACATATATATAAGTTTTAAAGTTGGTGGTTAATACTCTCGAGAGCCACCTTTCAAATATATTAATATATAGGTATCTTTAACTCGAAAACTGCGGAAGTGGGAAAAAACTGAAAACTCCATAGGCCATAAGAACACAATTTGTTGTGGATATTTTTACTTGAAGATATTGATTCCATGCGACGAGCAAAACAAAACAAAAAATTGCGATTATAAAAAAACGAGCTCAAGACGGCACGACATAAAGAGAAGTTTAATTATGAATATTTACCTGTCGTGTTTTCTGACATCTTTTTCAACTAAATTAACTAAAAAGCGCGACGAAGTTGTCATCTTACGCAAGCTGCTAGGTTGTAGTTCATTAATGTCCTGGGAGTAAACATTGATAAGAACATAAAATTACCGAAAAATTAGTTGAGTGGATCGAATGAAAGAAATATATATTTTTTTTCGAGCGAGTAATTTTCTTTGCATGGCAATTTTAAAAGCGTCTAGATGAATCTATGAAAAATTAGTTGACTCTATTCCCACAAAGAAAATCATTACATCGCACGCGTGGCGAAGGCACGTAAGTCGGACCAACAGCATTATACGCCTTTCGCCTACGGAACACACGACACACGAAATAATATCATCTGAAAACAATACAATGCGTATCAAAGAACTTGCTATCAATGTTGAGAAGCCTACATACGTACCAAAATGCAAACGGAATCGCTGACAAATGGTTGCAATTTGGCAGTACCAAAAAAAGCTTGATCAGCAGTATAGGCAGAAATAACATAAATATACAAAACAGGTTGTTGATCACGAGTAATACAGGGTTAAATAAAAGTTAGTGGTTAATATATGCATAAGGATAGCCATTCAATTACTGAATGGTAAATAAAGGTAAAAAAGAAATACTCTCAACTCCACCATCATTTCACGACAGACATCTTTGTCGGCCACAACGACGCACCGCTGTCAACATCTTAGCTTTTAATGAACAATAGTGGACGTAAAATCGATACAAGTTATCACAAGAGCTACAAGTGACTGCAATGAGTTAGTAGTAAATGGAAAATAAGGTTCCTGCGAGCACGGCTCGCATGACACACGCTTTGCAAGTCTATACATCCCTTACAATACACGCATATTATAATGTATATTACATGGAATGTTACTGATGCCGGACCTAGTGAGTGAAGTCTGATAATTCACGAGATTTTCGATTTAATTTTAGTTTCATCACTTTAAACGCATATTATAATGTACCTATATTACATGGAATGTTACTGATATGATACCGGACCTAGTGAATGAAGTCATATAATCTTCGATATTTTCGATGTAATTTGATGTAATTTTTATCACTTTAATTACCATCTAATGAATTCTCCCTGAAACAACTGTAACGATACTAATAAATATTGCCACCTTCTGACTTCTGGGAAATGAACAATGAAGCTTTTGCAAGCAAGGCACCAAAGTATGCATCCATAATTAACAATATAGTATAATTACAGTGGATTTTCGTAGAATGAATTATTTCATAATTAACCGCAATAATTCGATCGAGTCCCCATCGGCCGCACTCGTGAATAACTGCTAACGTAATCAGAAGACATTTCTTACAAATATCAATGGCCTCATAAGCAACATCACCGGATACTTGAAATTATTTACGTCAGGAGTCCTTGAATGCCTTAAGCGGCATCTCATGTTAAGCCAAAATGAGGTGACATTTAGGCCTCTACAAGGCGGCCTAGCCTAACCTTCACCACAGAATTTCTCAAAACAAACTCGCCTTGAGACTTCATCTCAGGAGCAAATGTGGTCTGGCAGGTCAACTTTTACTTCCTTGTCAGACGTGGAATAGACTGCTGGAAATATAGACTGTATTGTATATATTGTATACATCAACAGTGGGCTTAGTTAATTCGAGTTGATTGACGTTGAAACTCGCGAATATCTTGTGATAACAAGATATCCCAATATCTTGTGATAACAAAATGTTAGCACATATAAAATATTCGTAGTATTTAAATTATATTAACTCATATCACCACCGGTGCTCTTCTTACGCGTACACCAGCACTCGAGCTGATCAGAATAATGATCAATAAAATAAGGCACCGTTGATATTCAATGCTGCTATGTTCATGCGGTAGGCTAGCTTATGCATCTATTATGTACCTACCGTATATTAGTAACAAATTATATCAGCTTCAAGCATAGGTTGCCCGTCGCACGCATGTTGTGTTTGTTCTCGGAACAAGCGATCATCAACCATGAGGCATTTATTAGCTAAGTTAATTTTATTGGCTTTATCATGTCGTTCTAACGCCGCTGGTCGGCCGCAGATTTGTTGTGTTTGAATAGCTCCATTTGCCGGCCGCAGGTTTGTCGAGTTTGATAAGCTCCGTTTGCCGGCCGCATGTTTGTTCTGTTTGATTAGTCCGTTTGCCGGTCGCATGTTTGTTGTGTTTGATAAGCTCCGTTTGCCGGTCGCCGGTTTGTCGATTTTGATAAACTCCGTTTGCCGGCAGCAGGTTTGTCGAGTTTGATAAGCTCCGTTTGCCGGTCGCAGGTTTGTTGTGTTTGATTAGTCCGTTTGCCGGCCGCTTGTTTGGTGTGTTTGATTAACGCCGCTTGCCGGCAGCAGGTTTGTTGTTTGATTAGTCCGCTTGCCGGCCGCAGGTTTGTCGAGTTTGATTAACGCCGCTTGCCGGCCGCAGGTTTGTTGTGTTTCATTAACGCCGCTTGCCGGCTGCAGGTTTATTATGTTTGATCTCGGCACACTTAGGGATGTGGCGGTCGCCTGCGGTCTGGTTGAACTTCCTGCCGCAGTGCGGACACTCAATGTAGTCGGAGGTGTCCAGGGGAGGTGCCTCGTAGCCCTTCACGCCCTTAGCAGCCCGGACTGTTGCGATGAAGTCCTCGTGCTGCTTGCGCCAGTCCTTCTTCTTCGTCTGCAATGATAGAGGAGAAATTGTTACGTTTATGTTTATTTGCTTTTAATTTTACGTCTTGTCAAAGATAAATTGGGTAATAGTACGTGCATCCAAAGCCAGTCCTTCTTCTTCGTCTGCAAGGATGGAAAAGAAATTGCTACGTTTATTTGCTTCTAATTTTACGTTTTGTCAAAGATAAATTGGAGTAATTGTACGTGCATCCCAAGCCAGTCCTTCTTCTTCGATGGCAATGATAGAGGAGAAATTGTTACGTTTATTTGCTTCTAATTTTACGTTTTGTCAAAGATAAATTGGGGTAATTTTACGCACATATTAAGCCTGTTCTTCTTCTTCGTCTGCAATGATAGAGGAGAAATTGTTATGTTTAGATGCTCTCAATTTTACGTTTGTCAAAGATAAATTGGGGTAATTTTACGTGCATACTAAGCTTGTTCTTCTTCATCAGGACAGGAAATTTATTATCTTCACTTGTTCTTAATTTTTTGCTACATTAACGATACAATAAACCTATAGTTGACGAGACAATAATAACTTTAAAGCCGAGGCTAAGCCAGTCCTTCTTCTTCGTCTGCCAATCTTCATCTTTAGTTACGTTTTACGTTTTAACAAAGATAACGTTTAACGTTTTAACAAAGATAAATTGGGGTAATTATAAGAGCAAACTATGCCAGGCCTACTCCTTCGTCTGACATGAAGGACGAAAATTTTTTATCTTTAGTTGTTCTCAATTTCACTTCACATTTTAATGAACTTTTAGTTAGTTAAAAACTAATAATATTACGTGCCGGCTTGGCATATCCTTCGTTTTAGTCTGTCATATTAAAGAATCAATTAGTGTTTTTGTTCATGCCATTTACAAGTCAAGGAAAAGTTTTATTTGCAATTTTAGTTTTGAATTCTTACGCTTGCAAAACCTGTGTTGCGAGTTCGTCTGGCATGATAAAACTGACGAATTTAACGTATATCTTTATTTTATTGAGTATTAAAAATAAATCTCTTGAATCAGGAAGCACGTCACACTGGGATAAAAGCTCAGTAACAATAAATCCATGGAATCAAAAACAGAAACCTCCAGTTCATGGAGATTTTTCATGTTTGTAAAGAAATTTCACTATCATGCCACTAAGAAACCAATCAATTAAATGGCTAGATTAGTATTTTCATACAATTTTTCGGCAAATTTAGCCTACCTTGACCTCCTTGAGATGTAGTCCTCTGGCTACGTATTTCTCAGCCTCCGTGCCTTTGTTGCGCATCTTGACAGGGTCAAACGCCTGCGACAATTCGAAAATTTTTAGTATCAAAAATAAGGCATCGTAACATATAATAACATTATAGTGCTGAGCCTTTGTAAAATAGAGCGTAAGAATTCGCATTTTCCCAAATGAAACATAAAATTGTCTCTAATAAATCTTGTTAGCACATTTCAGAAATGTTGTTAATCAAATGAATTAAAATTTGGTAACTGGAATGGGTTCAAATAAAGAGTTGACTTAAAAAAAAGCACTTTCTTATTGCCGGCAGCCGAGACCTTTACACAGCATGCTAGGATTCAACGTAATTCTCAACAGAGTTCAAAGTTCAAAGGAAAGTACCAAGTTATTGTGAATTGTGTAACTATCCCTTTCCAAAATTGAAGTTCTGATAGATTAAGGCATTAAGGCACAATTATGGACTCAAACATTAGTATTTCGGAATAAATTATGCCTATAATTAGAATATTTACAACTTTGGCCCTCTAATTCTCGATTCATACCAGGGAGCCAGATTTTATTTCAATTTGGCAAACATGGTCTATCAACATGAATTAAAAGGGTAATAATTTGATAGCTATATCACAAAACAGTGTGTACAAAAACTTTGCACCATTTTGGCCTTTGCTTGTACAAAAAAGTGCATGGCTATTTGGACCAAATGACACTCATTTCTTTAAGTGCATGTAAATACCAACCTTGCGCTTCTTAGCCTTGGCTTGTGCAAAAAAGTGCACGGCTATTTTGACAAAACAACACCCATTTCTCCAAGTGCATGTACCTATACACTAACCTTGCGCTTCTTAGCCTTGGCTTGTGCAAAAAAGTGCACGGCTATTTTGACAAAATGACACTCATTTCTTCAAGTACATATGTACACTAACCTAGCGATTCTTGGCCCTGGCTTGTGCAAAAAAAGAGCACGGCTATTTTGACAAAATAACACTCATTTCTCCAAGTGCACGTATACACTAACCTTGCGCTTCTTAGCCTTGGCTTGTACAAAATAGTGCATCGCTATTTGTACAAAATAACACTCATTTCTCCTAGTGCATGTAAATACCAACCTTGCGTATCTTGTGCAAAAAAGAGCACGGCTATTTTGACAAAATAACACCCATTCTCCAAGTGCATGTACCTTGCGCTTCTTGGCCCTGGCTTGTGCAAAAAAGTGCACGGCTATTTTGACAAAATAACACTCATTTCTTCAAGTGCATGTACCTTGCGCTTCTTGGCCCTGGCTTGTGCAAAAAAGTGCACGGCTATTTTGACAAAATAACACTCATTTCTTCAAGTGCATGTAAAAACTAACCTTGCGCTTCTTAGCCTTGGCTTGTGTGGTGCGGCAGATGGTTTCATGTTTCTCGATGCGGTCGTCATTGAAGCATCGCTCACACACCGGGCACTGCTTCATGCCGGGGGGCACGACGCGGGGCCCGGGGGGCGCGCCCGTTGATGTTGTCGACCCTCTCCTTGAGCCGTACGGTGAGGGGGCCAGAGACGCGGGAGTCTGCGAGGCCATAGTTAAATAATAAATTATTATCTAAATATTCAAACGCACGAGTCTGTGATTATTTTCTGAATCTTCATCTAGACGACGATTATCTTCGGTAATTAGACGCATTATAGCAAAGCAAGCAGCGGTCATCCTGGGCTAAAAGAGACTCGTACGTCTTAGTTCAATAATTCAGTAAGGCACTTTTTAACGTGTTAATTTCACTTTAATTTACTTCACTTTTACTTTGGAACTTGAATATTTTTAGGTCTTTGACGTTCTGACGTGAAAATTATTGCTAACATTATTATTAGTAAATAATATTAGTATGATACTAATACAGTATTATTTTATTAGTATCAAACACCGACTTATCGGATAACCCGGTCCAACTGTCCTTCAGGGATTCCATCCTCAGGAGGATCCTGCCCTAGAGAAAATTCAGGCAAACTGCCGATAAAAATCTCTAGTTTTACTGCCAATAAAATACCTTCAATCTCATTGACAATAAGGGACCCTAATCCTGCTGTCCATATGGGACTCTCAATTACACTGACTTAAGGACCCTTGTCCTATCACCCTAATTATGCCCTCAGTTCTTCTGACCTGAAGGGGAGCCTTAGCCCTATTACCCTTAATGTACCCTCAGTCCCACCGACCTTGGGTTTGAAGCTGGAGGATGCGCTGGGGACAGGCGTGGGCCGAGACGATGGCGACGGCGAAGCTTTGGACTGCAAACAAAATACCGATTAAATAAATGGTAAAACAAGCTTCTTTTAACATAATGAAATCTAAAATTAGTAACGACCAATTATTTAGAACACTTTTTCTAGTACGTAATCAGTCTCCTACAGTAAAATCTCGCAACAATTCTCGGTTTTTGAGTTCGCGCTACGTTGACGCTACAAAAACAACCCATTAAAACATTTACAACGTTTGATGGGCTCAGTTGATAGATTCAGCATATATGCCGTTTCTCAGTTGATAGATTCGGCATACGTGCATATGCCGTTTCTCAGTTGATAGATTCGGCATACAGTATATGCCGTTTCTCAGCTGATAGGTTCGGCATACATGCATATAGAATAGAATAGAAGTGTCGGCGTTGAAGACATAGGCCCATGGCCTGTTGCCGATTCTTGAACTTTTCGTGACTTGATTCACAAGGGATCCGGCCTTTGGAACCCGATCTTTCCATAACTGACGATTGATTGAGATAGCTGCTGGACTTATTGCCTGTATATGCCGTTTCTCAGTTGATAGATTCGGCATACAGTATATGCCGTTTCTCAGCTGATAGGTTCGGCATACATGTATATGCCTTTTTCAGTTGATAGGTTCGCCATACATGTATATGCCGTTTTTTAGTTGATAGGTTCGGCATACATGTATATGCCTTTTTCAGTTGATAGGTTCGGCATACATGTATATGCCGTTTTTCAGTTGATAGGTTCGGCATACATGTATATGCCGTTTTTCAGTTGATAGGTTCGGCATACATGTATATGCCATTTCTTTGTCGATTGATTCAGCATATATGCCGTTTCTCAGTCGATAGCCGACATATATTTCGCCGATAAAAATGAACACATCGCCGGCCTGCATCGCTATAATGCGCGGGTATTGCGTCTATAAAGCGTCCAGCGCTAATCGCCCGCGAATCAATGGCCCCACGGCCCCGATATTTGAACAGGATGGATATGATGTCCAATACATAACTTGAGGGTTATCTCTCGATCGTTATAGTTGGAAAAATATACAATATTTTCGGTGGATTCCGGTGAATACATTACCGCTGAAAAGCTCTTCAAACGCAAAATAATCTTCCTCAATGACTGAAACTATTAATCGCTGATTAGTGGTCAAAATGCAGAAACATATTAATATGAACATACACAAATGGAACGTCGGAGACATATTAAAATGAACAACCTGCAGCAAATGGGAGAATACAAAAGCAAAATTTACGATTTTTTGAATTAATTCGTCAGATTTATCAGAGTGTACTAACAGAATAGATGGATTTTATTGCCATGATGCTGCACAAACACTGAGAGTTGTGTTTATGCATAATAGGAATCTTTTTAATCTTAATATCAAATAGAAACATAGACATTGAAACTTATTAAACATGAGGAAAATATATTAATAAGTAAATTTGAGAAATGGAGCATTACGTTAACAATATATTAACATATGTTCCCTGCGGTAATAAGGTTACTCACACTGCTAGAGCCCATGTCTGCATGGGCAATCTGCACTTTCACTGCTTGATGATTCCTTTCATGACACCCATCAGAATTATGATGAAGTAATATTTTAAGTGTCTTAAAACCGCCATCCACTACATCAAGAGAACAGTATTACGAAATTCTCACTTCATCATCTCTAACATACTTGTGAGAGAAATAGTTATTCGAATATTGCGTTTGCAGCGTATAAGAATTTTACATACTCAATATAGGTAACTTTTGCTATATTCTCAATGCATGAAGTTTGATCAAAAGATCAAACGGTAAATAGGAACGAGCGTGACTACCCGAACAGCACAAAGGCTGCCCCAGTGAAAATTTACAGACGCGGCAGCTTCTGATTTGGATTACCAGAAGCTGGGGCAACTCTAAATGTTGTTACCCAGTGAAAATTTACAGACGCGGCAGCTTCTGATTTGGATTACCAGAAGCTGGGGCAACTCTAAATTTTCTTACCCAGTGAAAATTTACAGGCGCGGCAGCTTCTGATTTGGATTACCAGAACCTGGGGCGACTCTAAATTTTCTTACCCAGTGAAAATTTACAGGCGCGGCAGCTTCTGATTTTTATTACCAGAACCTGGGGCGACTCTAAATTTTGTTAGGCTGGCTCAGCCGCACTCATTTCTAGGTTGAGGTGTAACCTGACCTCGATCTAGCAACCTCTATAACCAGATGGCTGTCGATTAGCTGGTTGCGTGAGATTTTTAGGTGGAAGATTAAAGGTCGATATCCGCACTCAAATGAGTGACACTTGAGTGAGTATATGAAACTTGAGTGAGTAACTAATACGAGTGAGACTTGAGTGAGAAAATGAGACCTACATCAGGCGCCTATATCAGGCGTCTACATCAGGCGCCTACATCAGGCGTCTACATCAGGCGTCTACATCAGGCGTCTACATCAGGCGTCCACATCAGGCGTCTACATAAGGCGTCTACATCAGGCGTATCAGGCGTCTACATCAGGCGCCTACATCAGGCGTCTACATCAGGCGTCTACATCAGGCGTCTACATCAGGCGTCTACATCAGGCGCCTATACATCAGGCAGGTCAGCGTGTGAGGTCACGCAGACGACTGATGGTCGCGCTGATAACGAAACTTCAGGCAGGCTTGTTTACCGATCAGATATATTATAAATCACTTATGGACACCGTGAGTTTTTTCCTCTATCATAAAATATGGTGGAAATTTTCAGCCCTTGGCACTTAGTCGCGGCTCAGGTAAATATCTGCGTTAACACAGAAAACTCACACAACAAAAGTCCCCGATTGATCACAGTACAAAACTCTGATCAAGAATTATGACTTCTCCGGTTTAAATGGAAGACAAGCTTTTGTTGATGTAATGTGAAGAACAAGAACCTAACACGGCATGGCACCGTACTATAATAAGGGTTTGTAGCGTACCTCATATAAGCATCTAAGCAACGCGACGTCGAGTTAGTGAGCCAGGTTAGTTTCTATGGCGATAAATAGGAGCGAGTATAACATTCTTCACTGTTCACTTGAAGTGATGGGAAAAAACTAGACAATTCTGGCTGGAACGATAAATTATCTTATTTAACTCATTTTCATTCGGAGCATAGCTGTAATTCTAACACTAGAAATATTGATAACGACTCGAAACGCGAAATAATAATCACGAGTAACCGAACGTGACCAATCACAGTCGTTTTAGAACAAATTTGGCCAATGGCAGTCGTGGTGTAGCAAGTTACGAGCATCGTCGGACATAATAAGTTCAGGGAGGCCATGGTCATCAGATTTGGCCTAGTATTTTTAAGCAGCATTTATAGACATGCAACGCACGGCACTCCTTATAAGCGTGGGGTGAAATGGGCACTCGTGCTAGCCGCATAGTACTAAAAAAGTTCATCAGTTGTAAATAGTAAAAGACATGAAAAATAATTTAATATCAAAGCTAATTTCGCACAACCACCAAAACAAAGGCACAACGAATACCGAACGTCATAAAGCGAGTAAACGTGTAATATCAGAGGCAAGCAAAATCATAGACAGGGAAAAACGTTGCTTTGTTACATCACAACACATTTTACTGCTTGGTCTGTCACTCGCCGACACCACACTTGGCAAGCCGCTTCTGCTTTACTTTGAGAATTGTTTATATCGAATGTTCGTCTGATTATTCAAGAAATTCACTGGAAACTTCTAGTTTCGGTAAGATGGAGGAAATAATGCTGAGAGTCGTGCCTTTTCCAGAATTTTCTTCAAGTTAACTGCAGGATGATTAGCCACTAATTGATAGCTTACGATCGGCTTCCGATAATCCATTAATGACAGAAAAATTCGACACCGGTTTATCGCTACCAGTACACGAATATCCCAAAATTCAGTACAACGATCGCAGGTTGAACACAGATAAAAATGAACGGTTCCACGCCCTGATTAACGAATTTTATTGCAACAATGTCAGAAAATCGCCTAATGAATTTCTGATATTTCTTCGTAAATGCCTTGCACCGTTTCTCGAGAAGCACACTCAATGTGCACACGCTAGCTGCTCTTGAAGGCTTCTGTGGTACAACACAGCACGAGCAGGTGGAATAGCAGTTGCTAATATATCACCTGCCGTACAGGTCGATGGTAACGTGTGAGATGGGCTCGATTTGACCCTATAATTAATGCAACGGATTATCTTCTGGCGATCTTGAGTGCAATGTCCGACCGTGGGCCGTTTTTTTCGCAAGAGTCGCAGTAATAAGCAATACATTATCGGTAATTCTTGCATTAATTAGTTTATTAAATTAATTGAACCGAGCTAAGGCGTGTAACTTTAATTTTTAATTATGAGAGTTATAATTGTGGTAGTTTTGGGTACTTTAAGAATTAGGTCATTGGTAAAAAATATAACTCAGTACTCACTGCAGTGAGTGACAGAGAGCGCATTTTCTCGTCGACGAAAACATGAAGTCACGGACGGACAGACGGACATGGCGAGCATAATAATGCATTTTTTCATAAATGACAAAATGCGCTAAAAAGATCCCATCCGAAGTATAGGTCTGCATGATTTTTTTCGCATCATACGATCGAGCCTGTGAACAACCATGAATGGCTTCAATATTTATGAGAGCATATATATGATGTTTATGAATAAAATTTACCAGCTCAAGAACTTTCAATTAAGGAAATTGAATGTATTCCGAGATCAAGAATTTGAGAGCAATATCTATGTAAATAATACAAATCTACGGAAAACTCACAACGTACTTTAACACCATATGATAATTTAACAGATAATAAGAGCCTTCGCTATTGATCTCAGTATATCGCAAAACTGCTGGAAATGAGAAAACTACGTTTCTCCTTCAGGTAAATTCAAAAAATACCGGCAAAGATTGGCTTGAGACCAAGAATTCAATTACTGCTTAACGCTATAGCAACTTTTATACCCATATACTTTTTCGGCAAGAATATCAAGTACAAGGCATATAATTAATTAAAGATAAAACTGACACCGTAAAAATGAACGGTTCCACGCCCTGATTAACGACTTTTATTGCAATAATGTCAGAAAATCGCCTAATGAATTTCTGATATTTCTTCGTAAGTGCCTTGCACCTTTTCACGAGAACCAACTCAAGGTGCACACGCTAGCTGCTCTTGAAGGCTTCTGTGGTACAGCACAGCACGAGCAGGTGGAATAGCAGTTGCTAATCTACCCATTTCGAGAACCCTGTATGACTTACCGGAAACCCCGTCATCTATAAATTTTTTCTAAATTATTACGAATCGTAATTAAAGAATTTTTATACAGCTGAGTGGATGTGTACTCGTACATGTCCACCTGCGCAAAAATACCTTTCACGACGGTTTTTTTCTGTGCTTTAAAAAAGACTTTACGTAATGAATTCTTGTAAAAACAATCACAAATGGCTTGAGTTATCAGACTCCGATTTTCAAATTTCAAACTAGAATTTCTAATTGCAAGTTTAAAGCATTACCGTGTGGAATAAAAACAAATTGGTGCAATATTCAATGAATAATTGGCAAAGTTTGTGGGATTGTTTACGTGCTTGAGCCTATTCTTCAAATAATTGAACACTTTGACATTGAAAAATTGAGAGGAAAGTTTGAATTAAAACTAAAATGTGATTTTTAACATGGTGAGTGTATTTTTAATTCAAAATGAAAATTTCACGTTTCTTTTGCATTTGAAAACACCTTTATTTAATGCAATTTTTGTGCTAGAATTGGGCTTTTCTTGGACCATTCTTCATATATTGTACCTTCGTTTCGAAAGTATTAACTGGTGTTCGGGATGTCCGGTTAAAAGATGACGAAACTTTGAATAAAGGGTTTCTTTAATATCAAGGATTATGACTCGAGCCACGCCGTCCAAACATGCTAGTAATATTATATAAATAATTATAGTTGTTAAAAAATTAATTACTTTTTGCTGTCCATGTCAGACACACGAGAAACTTTACTTGGAATCTGACGGTAATATGACGATAATTACGCCACAAATCAATAGAATGGTCCAGTCAAGCCCAAGTAACGAATGGCGTTGACAATGATAATCAATAAGGTGTGAGAAAGAAAGTCGCGCACGTGTAGTGAAACAGGGGTGGTTGCTATGGCAACCGCTTGTTTACATTGCGCTAGATGGAACGGACGGCGTCTGCACGAGCGGAACGCAGCGCGGACAAAAACGAGCAGCTTTCCAAAGAAAATATACGAAGATTATAAGAGAAACTGACGTAAAAGGGAGTGGCCCTTGATCCTCAAACAGGCTAAAGGATTTCTCAGGAATAATCAGACATGTTATTTATTTCTAGCTCTCAGACATGCGATGGAGTTTCCAGTGTATGTCCAAACTTGCAATGAGATTTTCCTCTGAAATTCAAATTGCTATGGAATTTTTATTCTAATCTGAAACTAGCTTGAGAGTATCTCTAATTCAAACATCCATATTTCCATTGGGTTTTCAAGACATTCGAAGACTTTCCATAATTAAGGTACTAGAGCAAACATCTGAGCTTTAGTGAAATATTGTCAACATTCGAATGACTTTCCATCAGATACGAACATCAGAGTTTGAGTGGGACGTTTAAAAAGGCAAATGCCTTTCCG